GAAATAAAATCAGTTCGCTGGATTCCTCTTTCAACCAGCTTTCCAATGAGGGGTCGCAAGCCATAGGGTTGTATTTGAAAAAAACATGTGGGGGGGTTGATTCCAGTTATCCCTTAAGGGTTATATTCTCCATATTGCTCGCAAATCTAGGTAAATACATTCAAACGTTGACGTGTCTTGCGAATTGTCAGAAAAATCATTCACTTCTCCAGTAGCGAATTTATTCCAGTTAAAGTCTCCACCCTGTATAACATCACTTACCCCACTCTTTGGTCTAAGATTTTCATTCAGCGAGCTCATATCCGTGTAGAGAAAAGTGGAATTCGGGAAGTTCATATACTGCTGAATGTGAACAAATGAGACACAAAAAGACGTTGTGGGCTCCCGGTCTATCAATTTCGATGAAACAGCCAACCACTAGCAAAAATGCACATTATAAATAATACACCAAACATAAACAACGTGAAAATGGCTGACGGGCTATCGATAATGAGATTAAAAAGAAGCCAGCTCTGTATGGACATACGTTCTAATAAGTCCAAGACATGCAGTGCTGACGTTGATACATACTGCGCAGTAGCTTGAACCAATTTCAATGCTCGCTTGTTGGTCTTGAAAGTTATTCCTGTATTGTTCTTTCATTCGTTGTTTATAAGTCAGTGGTTGTCACAGAATAAAACAAAAAAATAAAACACGAAAGAACAAAAACAACTAAAAATGCTAAAAAACAACATAACAACTACAGTAAAAGCAACTTAAAACAGGACATGCATCATGCTTGAAATCAAAGGAACACCGTCACCTTAAAACTGAAATGAAAATAAGATATATTAATGATATATTATTTTTAATAATAAACTCTCGATAATAATAACAGGATTAATCAGAAATACATATTCATATAAATTTTCATTTTCAAAAAATGGTTCTAAACCATTACCCAATCGCAAAAACCTGTTCCATAGCCAAAATATTCTCACCGGACCAGTCTCACAACGAACAATACAGTTAAAGACTGTAATAATGGGGGATAACACCTTAAAATTTATAAAACTATATATATAATTACCCAACCGCCAAGAAATTTCGAAGTTGAACTTACAATTAAAAATTTTAAATATCAAACACTTAAAACTACAGTTATGTTAAACACCAACAAATCCAAAAGTTTCATAAAAGTTTTGTTATGGCTAAAATATTAATTATAGTTTGAGAAATTGAGACAATAAAATTTAACGTTTAGGGGGAATCTAAGAGTCCCGATTAGTATGTCCGAATATTTTTATCATTCGTAAATATATAACCATTTACTTGTTCCAATAAATTTTAAAAATGCTCGCTCACTGAATATATAAAAAAATCAACGATAGGCTTTCGTAACTGTTAGAAAAAGAGAAAGCATTCCTAACGAAATGTTCAGAATAATTTCCGCACCACCAATGATTTTTACGTAGCTAAAACTTAAAATTAAATAAATTAATTGAGCACGATCGATAAAGTTAAGGATTATTCTTGATGTTATAAACATTGATGGGCAAGTGTCAAAGAGAAGTCACTAATGCGGTTTCAAATAGAATTTGTTTAAAGAAAAAATCTCATAGACGAGAGCTAACCCTAAACTACACCGTTGGCCATGTATAAGACTTGTTCTAACCTCAAAATTATTCCACTGGTATTTTTTTCGGTTAGTTTTGCATTGACAAAAAAAATACTAATCGAGGCAAAAATGCAAATCAAAGGAAAGGAGGACAAGACTTTCTTTGTAATTATTCATGATTATGGCATTTAAAAAATCGGAATACAAAATAACCAATAATCAATAGATTTCGAACAGAATTAGTTCCCTTTCATGATATGGAGTACAAGATTTTTTTCGCCTTTTATTGATTTTGAAAACAAAACATTATCTCACACATGAGAAACTATCCTCATCTTGTTTCTTGTTTCAACTTGAAATAAGAAAATACTAGTTGTCTATGCATTACATCAATTTTAACCTCAAAATGGAATAATTTCACTGGTTTTCTTCTAGGTAAACTGCGAATTTCTAATGAAAATTTCATTATTTGAGGATTCAACTTTCAAGGTGAAGACAGACATTATTGCTGGGTACTAAAAAAATCGAAATTTGGAAATATCTGGAACAAAGAATGTTATAAGCTCTGATAGTCGAATGCCAAAAAGAAGTCACTAATGTGGTTTTATTTTCTTCCATGATACGGAGTACCATAATTTTTTTCACCATTTTACTTTTACAAAAACCCAAATAATATATTCCATTATGAAAGCTGTGTGCTGCTTTAACCTGAAATAATAGAATACTAGTTGGCCATGCATAACATCGAAATCAACTTAACTCTCATTTGCCAACAAATTTCATCATTCAAGGATGCAACTCTTGTTTTCATTGTCATTATCCATGATTTTACGTAGTGGAATACACAACTCAACTTGAATATTTCTTTCTGAATATGACCGCCCAATGCCAGGGAAATTATTCTGAACATTTTTTTCTCGAAATGCCTTAAAGTCACAAAAAAACTCTTCGGTTTATGTGTATAAACCGTCAGAGATGAGCCTTATGCACTTACTTAAACCTAACCTAATTCTAATAAATAACCAGTTGAAATAACAAGTTTAACAGTAACAACGACATCTATCTATATACGCTCTAATTTAGCGTAAAATCTCGGAAAACCGACTGCTGCAAATTTTATTGAAAACGCTTCATCGAACGGCAATTCACATTCTTTTTAAGAAACACAAAATTAATAATAGGCATTTTTACAATTATAAGTGAGTATTCACAATGTTGGCCAGATAGTAATAATTTTGATAAAGAATGCCTAGAACGATACACAATGACATTTCATTCAGGTTGAGAAATAAAGAGCATAGTCAGTGGGCTGACAAACACATTTTTGGAATCTTTACGATGGCAAATATAATGATTACCTACCTACTTGGGAAAAACTGCCTGTGGCTGGGAGACTCGAAAGCTTGATTTGACGTTTGTCATTTGTCAAATGTCACCCACCCGTCAAATAACCAAGCTTCACTGATGAATATTATATAGTTTATAATTTTTGTTAATTCCTTTATAAATGATAAACGTGGAATTTCTCATTTCAGGCCTCATAAATGAATCTAATCGAAAAATAGTATGAGCTCAATTTCCTTTGCCCTCTCCTTGATGCATTTTCAAAAGACGAAAGCAAACTTAAGAGAAGATTTTGGGAAATTTTCTACTTTTCAATATAACGAGCATTGAATCCTTTAGATAGGAGGGGATATATGCCATTATTGAGAATGAATAAATAATCTAGTAGGTCGCAAAAACTTAGAACGAACAACGTCAATTGAAACACCTTTCTGTCCGGCATTTGAAGTTTATTCATCGCATCAAATTACTTGTTTGCAAATCGTTTACACCTTCTTCACAGCAAGCTTTAAATCATAGATTCAGTTGAGCTCAATTTCCACGAACTTGTACAGTTTAACCGAGTTACATTTTAGCATAACTCATGTAGGTATTTTCCGAAAGCGTGGGTATTGATTATTTCGGAAAGTATAAACAGTATTCAACAATAACAACCTCATCCCAAGATTGAAGTCTAGTTGGAGGTCAAAGATGTTTTAATTCTGGGTTTGTTCTTTCTAATGATTCCGTTTCCTTCGGTTTTCATGATTTTGTTGGTAACAACAAAACTTTGTCCAATGAATTCATTTTCATCTTCATATAAACTCATTTGATGTTCCTGAATGCAGTGGATAAATGTTCTACCCGTTTGACCAACATAAAACACGAGGATGGATGTCTACCAGAGGTATATGTTGGTCAAACAGACAATAAATCACTGCTTTCATGAACATAAAATCATGATACATGAAACAAATCCGATATACACTCTTTGTCAGACTAGACCTCGAGGATTTGCAATTGTTGATCTCGTTTTCAGAAATATTTTCATAACCGCATCCGGTACTCTATTACTTTCTTCGTGTAATTTATTTCCTCTTTTCCATTCAATATGTAATAACGATCGACATTGGATATTCTCATTTCTCGTCTCATAAATGAATGTTGAATCTCATAAAAAATTCAGATACCATGATATTAATTCAAGTTGCACTCCTTGATAAATTTTCGAACCTACAGAAGAATGAGCTCGAAAGATTTTTATTTTTTAACGTTATGGGAATCGTAAAATATTTCCTTCAATTCTGGAATCCTATTGATAGGAGTTCAATGATGATATTATTGCCAATGAATGAATAATCCAGTAGGTAACAGGAAAATAGAACCAACAATGTCAATTGAAACAAATTTCTATCCGACATTTGAAGTTCATTTATCGCAGTAATGTTGAAAATGGTTCATCTTCCAATGAACATTTATCAGACAAACTTCATTGGTCACTGTCAATGTCAATACCGAAAACGTTAATATCAGACGATCACAAGCGAAAAAAGGAACTTTCATAAAGTAGCAATTCTTAAAAGGGTGGTATTCTTTCCACACGACAAGCTCAAAGTTAAAATCGTTGGGTTGAGTCCAATTTCCACAAATTTTTTTAAAACAGTAGCTTCTTCAGGTGACAAACTCGTACATTTCAGCATAACTTATGTAGGTATTTTCCGGAATCTAGGGTGTTATTTACCAGTATCCCTCATTTCGGAAAGTCAGTCTAAACAGTATTTAACAATAACATCATCCATCATGAAGTAATATTTGAGTCACTTCAAATGACAGATAAACACCGGGTTTTTCTGATTGACACAGCTCGTTCTAAACTCCTTGACCTATCAAAATTTCCCCATCAACAGTTATTCCTCAGGTGACAAACTCGTACAATTAACTGAGTTACATTTCAGCATAACTTATATAGGTATTTTCCGGAATCTAGGGTGTTATTTACCAGTATCCCTCAATTCGGAAAGTCTAAACAGTATTTAACAATAACATCATCCATCATGAAGTAATATTTGAGTCACTTCAAATGACAGATAAACACCGGGTTTTTGTGATTGACACAGCTCGTTCTAAACTCCTCGACCTACCAAAATTTCCCCGTCAACAGTTAATCTTCATAGTGCCATTCGATCAAACAGTTCCAATAAACTCCCGCGCAACAGCATCAAACCTTCAACCGCGCGGAGAAAAAAAAACAACAACAACAACAAAGTGAGCGCTAATACTTGCTTATGCTCAATTGGCGATCGCCGACACGGCAGAGCTCGATGAAGAAGAAGCCGAGGAGGAGGCGGAGGACGAGACCACCCCCACCCCTGGAGAAGTTGGCATGACGGCGACCGTGCCCAAGCCGACCACCTGGCTGTTCTTCGAGTTGCGCATGAGCGGCTTGTGGAGGCGGTACTCGCCGGCGTGCTGCCACTGCCAGCAGGTGCGGCAGAAGTAGCGGAAACAGTTCATGTCGCGGCAGAAGTAGGGGCCTTGCTGCACCTGGCAGATCGAGCAGAGGGAGTCCTCCAGGTAGGGGTCGACTTGCACCTGGAATTTTCCAGTTGTTATCGATGATAATTCGCGGTCGCCAAGGTCATTAGATGACGTTGCAATGACATTAAAAACTACGGGAAAACATCCTGACTACTGGGAGATAGAGTCCTTGTATGTATTTTGTAATGAACGGGTATCTCAGACAAAATTATGTGGATTTCTGAATTATTTTGAACTTAGTACAGTGAATAATACAAGAATAATTTATATATCATGCGTCTACCAGGTATAATTCGAAAGAACTAATTAGGCAATATTATTACATGAACGGACGAATGTTTATTTTGAATTGAGTGCAGCATCATTAGCATAAACAAATGTATAGAATAAGTAGGTACGTTACCTTTGTAAAACGAATTTACTGGTCACTTAGGAACGAAGCAGGAAGTTCAGCAAAGAGGGAGTGACTTTAATCTGATCGGCTCGAAAGATCAATAAATTATTATTCAGCCCAAATAAGTAAAGGAAGAGCATGTCATTGTCAGTTTTGTTAATATTCATGAAGTGAATTATTAACATTACATTAGAGAAAAAAAAATTAATGAGAATCATAAACCGCATCGAATTATTATTGCTTGAAAAAGGGTTAATGAAAAACTATAGTATTTGACAGTTTTGTTAACATCAAGAGTATGAGTTTTTTTTTTCAATTGCATTACCTCGTTGGCCCCAGCACTGGGACCAAACGCCCCATAAGTCGAAACTTGTGCGGGGTTGGGTAAGCATACAAACACAAACATCCATGGCCTAACTAGGATTCGAACCTATATGTCTTGGTGGAAGTCCCCATACGAACTCAGCGCCTTCACGCTCTCGACCACCGAGCCGCCTATAGTTGGAGCTTAAAATTATTTATCGTCATAACAATTCAGAACTACAACGGAATCTTTTAAGTTTCGCAAATTAATCCTACCATCTGTAATTTATCGCTCAAAAATCTACGAAAAATCTTGCCCAATATAAACACAACATGGAACTAATATTTAATTGATTCTCCCAAAATGTATTGCAAAATTCTGTATAAAAACAGGAACAATCCGAATAAAATAGGACAGTCTGAAGTTATTCTTGAAGCAGTCTTGATCAGTCTCCAATACGATATGTCTTGATCTCCGTTGTGTTAGTTGAACGTTTTGTTAGTGAGCATCGGGAATAATTATTGAAGTACAATCATTGAATCTATTGACCAGAGTGTGAAATGTCAAGTCTTAAACGTGACTCAATACAAAACGTATCCAGTAGACTTTGTATCTATCTATCAAACTTGCTACATTCGAACAGTACCAGTTCAAACATGCTACATTCGAACTGTACCAGTGAACTTCGTTAATAATACCTGTGTAATTAACCACTCTGGTAAATTCATTGTAAACTGCAACCTTTTGTGACTGAGACGTAAAAGTGGAGCGAATCTCGCCAATCCAACACAAGTGAACAGTCCTCTGCCTGACCATACTACCTGAATATATGTCTCAGTAACTATCTATATGGTGTCTTAATGTCTACAATCTCAGTCTGCCTCCTGCCTCAATAATCACGAACCCATTGATCGAAAAAAAATACTTTATGACGATCCCCTGAAGAAAGTTGGGGGCATTACTATTTGGCAGTTTTGCTGTAATAAGAGTGCGGACACAATGACAAGCAGTGAGAGAAGGCATAACCCTAAAAAAAATTTAAATGACATGACGGCACTGATAGTCCATGAACGTAAATGACGTTGCATTATTTGAAGATTCAGTTTTTCAATAATTTAAATTAGCATGTAGTTGAAAACTGCAAGAATAGAAAAAAATCATTTAATTTATTCCCCATGATAAACAATAGCTTTCGAAATGGAAACAAAATATGAAGCGGCCATTGTGGAAATTGAGTTCAGCTAGCAAATTTGCGAAGTACTCAATATTTGAATTTTTCGATTGAGTATGATGCATATTCGAAGGAATAATATCATTCCTAATTTCAATTCTAACATAATAGGTGCACTTCAAAAGTGAAGATTTGATAATGGAACATACTATTAAATTGAAAGAAAATGCATAGCCTTCATTTTATCATCAGAAAGATTGCCGAAGACATTCTTTATCTCTACCGAATTCTGGAAAACTTTTACAAGAAAAAATTCAAATAGGAAGCCAATATCAAATTAACTGTATTTTAGATCATAAACAAGAAATTGCAAACATTCAAAATGTATTAATAGAGAATGATGGGGAATACAGAAAAAAATCAGAGAAAAGAATGAACAGTTGAAAAATACCTTGAAACAAAAATACTCTGAAACGAGACTGCAAGTAACAAGAATTCACGGCTATTATAAGGAACTAATTTCAAATCTTGAACTATCTCATCAAAAATCTTTGGAAGACTGTGAGAAAACTGCGAATGCAAAAATGCAGGGAATTTTGAATCGAATCAAGACCCAAATTGATATTTTTGGTATATATTTCAACCAAAATTAAAGTCAACTTCAGTATTTGAAGACGCGAATCCATGAAATCGATAACAAATTAAAAGGTATTCTAAGTAAGGTTGCTATTTATGAGCAACATATTTCTCATAATTCTAAATATAATGGTAATAGATGGGATGCAGAGAGTGTCGAAAGAAGAAAAATAAAACGAGATAATTATGTTGATGAAACTAAGGCAAGAAAAAGGAAGTAAGTGTTCAAATGCGATAATTCATTGAGATGTAATGCTGAGAATTGCATCACTGCTGCTATCATTCAGTTGAAATTTGGATACTAAATTTTGTTGTAATGCTCTTATAATCAAGCGAAAACTGTAGGTACCTACCATTATTTGAAATTTCATATTCTTGAACTATAACTATAATCATTATACTTGTATTTATCGAATTTTCTGCTCGATCATGCACTATAAAGTGTCTTAGTATTTCAAGAGAGCAAATATAAGTTTGTTAATTGGTTGAATTATTCTTCCCATTCATTTACATTTCGCTCAGCAGAACTGGCTACTAAATCCTGACTCTTCTATTGAAATACTAGTGCATCCTAGAATCAAATAAATTGACTCGACATATATCCTTTGTTAAGTATATCGAGAAATACTATCAAAAAATTAGGTTAACTATGACCCCTTTTGGCCAGTGAGACGAGAAGCCACTTCTTTATGAAAAAAAAATACAGAGAAAGATATATGGATGTACCCTTCACCGCGGCAGTAGAGGAACTGAAGTGCATGGAGAAGCATATCCATGTCTTTGTTCAATCAAACCTACAAAATCATTTTGAGAATTGTGGGTTATGCCTTCTGTCACTGCTTGTCATAGTGTCCGTACTCTTATTGACCTATCCAAGATGCTGTCAAACCACCTAAATCAATATGGCCGACTGTAGGCACACATACTTTCGTGTCGCAATATCTTTGTTATAGCGGTCCAAGGATAATAAATATCCACTTTTATTCAAAACAACCATTATTATTATTTGATATATCTACCAAAGATTATACTGCTGCTACGTAAATCAACAAAAAATACAGGCGGCCATTAGAAATTTGTCTAAAGTCACGTGTTCTGGAATGCCTAATTACAGCCAGCAAAACTGCCAAGGGCATACAGGGAATCTACTGGAAGAGATTGAAAGTAAGATAAGTTTTCCTGTAGTTTTCAATATCATCGGAACGTCATGATGGTGGCCGCGAGTATTAAATAAATACTCAAAACTCGAAGTCATTTCCACAAATGTTCATGAATGAACGAAACTGGTAGATAAAGAAAGAGAAACAACTACTTTCCTGTCTAATATTTTCCCCCAATGAACAGATATTATTATACCTCCCGTCCAGGTTTTCATCTAGAACGACAATGTTCTGAATAATGCATTTTTTCTGCAATCAACTCAAAAGTCGTCCATTTTTGTTTCAAAATCAGCTCTTGAAGTTGACGTTTCTCTTACTGACACAATAAAATGATAAGTATGTATGTTGCTATGCAACACTTTTAGTATCTAGCAGCTAAAGTTGAAGTTTAACTCCTAGGAACTATAAGTGTGTCGGATGACAGCTGATATGATAGCTGCTTTGACACTGACATGCTCAAGTGAGGTAAAAACGTGGTGAATTCACTTATATTTTATTAATTAGATATCAATTATTTCGATCGCGGTCGCTACGCCTCGCAAACGCAAATATCGCAAGTTAATCAAAGTGTCACATTTGATCCTAATAAAACATTGTACTATTCTTTATTGTCATTAAAATTATTCATGTTTTCAATCCCCAGGTCAAAACATAGTATACTTGACATCATTCGATTCTGATTATTTTTCCAAAATTCACATTCCGCCCGATTCAAGAGTCTATAAAGGGATGAAAGGGAGATGAGACCTCCTTCTACGTCCACTGTATAAATAATCGTTAGAAACAATGAAGATTATTCCACCTTATGACCAAAACTTACTTTTTTGGTGAATTTCGCCGTTTTGATTTCGATGAAAGCCGCAGCTACCGCTTTCGTATAGGAAATCTGATTGTTGAAGGTGACTCGCCCAGAACCAATCGGATACTTGTATTTATCAGTATCTATGCCTGAAAAAAAATTGAGAATGAGAGTTCCTTCGGTAGCTGTCTCGCTCCTACACATTTCAGAATCCTACCTCAATTAATAGGGAAGATACAGGAGTGCTTCTTATGAGAAGTGAGACAAACGTGAATTTTTCCAATAATCATGGCGGATTCTTATTTTGTCATCCGCATGTCAATTTTCACACTGAATATTTGCATCTTGGAAATTGAAAACATATTGATATGATATGCCTGGTCTAATGACTATGATTTTCCAATATTACTTATTTAACCCTACAGTAGTCGCATCTGAATTTCGACATAGACCGGTCGCGCGCGGATTCACAGTCCGCACCTCTGGAGTTGTTTCAGAGTCAACCTATCTAGCACAAATAATAGTGGATGCAGGATTCGTGTAATTCTAATTTATTTTTTAAATAAACTAAACAAGTTAATTTACTTGAAGAATACAAGAAATATCGGATATTATGTAATAATATACCAATTCCAGATGTCAGATATAAAAACTGATACTTCAATTTGCACTCTTGGCACATGAATAAATAATTAAATATTGACTCTTGGAGTACTATACTAAGAAACAAAATTTGGAAAAATACTTGAATCTGCTCATAATACACACCAAAAAATTACCTAAAAAGACAACCAATGGCCGTTTCGGGTAGCTCGGACCCAAACTGGATGGTATTAGGTGGAGCGTGCCACTGCGCGTCAAAAAAATGTGATAATTAGACAAAAACATTCAAATGTGGAGCAAGAGTCCGCGCGCGACTACTGCAGTGTATAATTAAAATTAACCAAGAAAATGTGGTACTCGAAGGCACTAGGCCTATGTCTCATGCTGCAAACTTCATTCTCGTAGGAAATCACTATCATTCCGTGCTCGTAAAACAATATACTATTCCTGATATGCGCCCTATAAGACAGTTGAAGTTTGCAAAATATCGAAATCCTGACTCAACTATTAACTGAGTTATAGGAAACGGGAGGTGAGATGCAGGACCCTGTGATGATACCCTCCGAAAGGCATACTTATAGCGAATTACATTGGTAAAACTGGCTCGCACAGATTTTGTATTCCATTGGTAAAAGTGGTGTCAGTGCAACAATTCTCGCACGATCTCTGATAGGTCGTGGAGAGTCAGTGCAGTTTTGAAAATGGCGGAAACATTGAATATGAATAGTTTGAAAACCAAATTGAGTGGCAATGTGATTATCATCATCAAATAGTGATGAATAGTTGAAAGTTTCAACAAAATAGATGAGATCACTTCCCAGAATTCATAATTTTGTTGAAAGTATTTTGCAAATTCAATGATGACGAGGTACTTATCAAAAACAGCAGTCAAAATTATTTCCATAAAATATTTACTTTGTTCTTAATTGAAGTTAAGAAAGAATTCCAGGATGCTTACAAGTGATGAACAAAGATAAACCAACTCATCCGATTTAATCTCCAACAATAATTGTATTATAATATTATTACGTATTCCATTGGGGATGCACCAGTTCAAGGTTAGTAGAAGATATAGGTTCCTTCCAACCAATCAGCGCCAGCGCGGGATAGCGTCACCCAGAGTGCCCATTTCAAATCGATAACTTGAAGTCCTTGTTTGTTGTTTTGGATATTTCCAACTCTGATCACTTATTACGATGCGATTATGTACAGATATATATCGCAAAGCCAATGATATTGATATTTTGTCAAATTTAACCTTATATATGCCAAAAAATCCAAAAAATAATAGTCTATTAGAACATTTTTGTGTGTTCCAATTTTGAACCAATAACTCGTATATAGAGGGATATTGAAGATTTGTGAAATATCACTAGACTTTTATCTTCCCCTTCATGAACATAGGTTGGGTATAAAAAAATGTCGAAAACACTAAATACATACGAGGTGTTTTTGAAATGAATGCACAGCAAATGAAAATGATACAGTCTAACTATATTCCCAAAATATAAGATTTTTCTAATTCTTCTAACCATCGAGAAATTTCATCTTGAAAATTCAACGAAAAAAAAAAAACACGAAATTATGTGGATTAGAATGGATATCGCACAGTATTATTTTAGCTTGTATATATACGACAGTTACAATACATAGGTAGGTATTTTTCTCTTTTCTTTTTTTAAAAAAATCTCAATATTAACTGTATTCACCTCTAATTATGTCTATCTGCTAATCCTAGCACAATATTATTCCTAGTTTATACAACACCTCTTGATGTCGCAAAGGCACAAATAGGTATAGGTACCTACCAATAGTTTTAATAGTAACAACCCTCAAAAGAACTTACACAGCCTGGTTCACTATCTAGAATAAGTTCATTATGGACTCAGATAAACAAAATGGGGCAATAAACCAATGAAATTTCAGTTTATTCACTGAAAAATGAGATGAAATGGAGTAAAACAGTAAAACCTATACAGGATCACAGTACAAGATTCAATGTAAACAATATGTCTGGCACTCTCGATGACGCGTCTATCCCCTCTCTCGTCGCACACCGCGCAACAACGAGACAACCTCTCTCTTCTATTAACCTTGGCACCAGTTAACATTTTGGAGAGAACTAACGTAGTGCGGGTGTAAAACTGGTGCAAAACCAGTGCACCACCAGGTTTACGACTGGAATTCGCTATATGATTCCTGTCGAAAATTGTTGATTTATTAAGTCCACTCACCCGCATAGACTACACCATCGAAAAGGTCGTTCATGATTTTGGCGAGACCTTCAGCGTTCAGCATGCCGTGCAAAGCTCCTACGAACACCGTTTTGCTGGGATCCAATTTTTGGGAGGTGGATTTCGTGTAGTTCGAATCGTTTATCACCCACGGGATGACTTGAACCTACATAATATTGTTGTTATTAGGAAAATAATTGCATATTATTAGTCTTCGAAAACGTTAGAAAAATTAATTTCCTGATGCTATAAAATTTATAGTATTTTGATTGTGATTATTTTACGGATAGTATGCATGAATCTAGTGAGGATAATTTCACTGTAAGCAATCAAATATCCAAACAAGCCCGAACTGAAACGAAAGCAACATCAGGACTCATTGGGCGAGAACCATTAAAGATCAAATAATTCCCATTATCTATACAGGGTGTCCTGAAATTAGCCTGCCAAACTTCACTGGCGGCTTTCACGATCAAAAATAAAAAGAAAACTTTTTATGAACATGAGTCGAGAAATGTCTCCTTAGGGAGCTACGGTCCCCTGAAAAGGGGCTTTTCAAGATGATAATTCTTGAGTATTTCCTAAACTCCATGTGAAAAAAAAATGCGATTTGGTACAAGAACTAAACTTTCCATGCCCAATGCAGTGTGAATAAAATCATTTCGAAATTTCAATCAGTACGGTATAATACAGGGTGGGACTACATTAAATATTGCTCAAAATTTCTTGTATGCATATTTTCCGACAATTTAATCCCGGATTATGAAATTTCACACCTCTTTACAGCAAAAAGGTACTCTTGTTCCGTGACGATCAGATGTATTATTATCGAGTGAAAGCATTTTAAAAATGTTGTTACATCTCAGATATTACGCATAACATTGCAATGAGGCGTAGTGGAAATGGAAAAAAATTCACAAAAATTCAAGTAGTTTTTTCATCATCATTTTCCTATTTTTCGCGCTTTTATGATATTGTTTGGCAAAAAGAAAGTACTTGATTTTTTTTATAGCCACTATGATTTGAAAATGGGCAACGTTGTGCATAAGATGTGAGTGCATCAATATTTTTAAATCGATTTCACTCGAAAATGATACATCTGATCGATGCGAAACAAGAGCCCTTTTTTTGTGAAACGGTGTGGATTTTCATAATCCGAGATTGAATTGTCAAAAAATATGCATAAGAAAAAGTTTGAGCAATATTTAATGTAGTCCCACCCTGTATTATACACTCCTGAATGAAACTTTGGAATGATCTCATGTTCACCTCATTGGGCAAGAAAAGTTTAGTTCCTGTACCAAATTGCATCATTTTATCACTCAGCGTTTCGAAAATATTCAAGAAATATCTTCAAGGGGCCGTAGCTCCCTAAGGGGACATTTCTCGACTCATATTCATTGAAACTTTTCTTCCTATTTCTTGTCTCAGAAGCCGCTGGTGAAGTTTGGCAGGCTAATTTCGGGACACCCTGTATAGTAAGTACATTTATTTCCAATATACACAGAACAGGTGTACATTTAGCCATTGGCATAAGGAAAGATTAGTGTCATTTAACAAAATTATTTGATGATGAAAAAAAAAGTCTAAGCTCTATATATTTGAAAACTGCAGCATGTTTGCTACTACTGCTGAATATTGATTTTTTTAAATTTCTTTGAACATGAAATCATATTACTTAAAAACTACTTAAAACTAAAGGATGGTCATTCTTTTTACGACTGCGGGAGCGGTTTTGCGAAAAATTCATTTAAATAATAACATACAAGGTGGTGCAATAAATCCTTCAGTAAATGTTTGAATTTTCTTATTGAAAGTTCCTTCATGTAAATGGTTATAAATTTTTATTCTTGTGTACAGGGGTCCATTACGAGTTTTTTCATACCTGTAGTTGGGCAATTTTATTTTATGGGTTCTTGTCATGTACTGATGACGATGATCTGAATTGAAGAACATCACGTTTTTTTATGGTAACATTCCTAATTAGCAATAAAAAATAAATTGTCCCAAAATGTTCCCTTATGATTTGTTGCTTATTGCTTATAATGAATTTGTGTTAAATGATAATTATATTAATAATTCATACTAGAGGTCATTTGAATCGGTGAACGTGAGAACCCCGCGCACGACTTGTGGGCGTGGTCTTGTCAGTTCTCGGCATTCAGCACAATGTTGCCAAGTCTCCAACATTCACATGATATTTTGTTATGGAGAATAAGAAATATTTGAACATGCTGGTTGCTCGAAAAAGTCAAGAATGAACTATAATGTCATGAGTTCCTCCTATTATGTTTTATTCAACGACAGGACTGAAACATCTTTTTGATTACTTGATTATAATTGGTGACTTGACAACCTTGCTTCATATGTGGAAATGGAAGATCATTTGACCAATAACAAAACGGCATAAAACCTAACATCACCATTTATTAGACGTATCGCCATGACGTTACGTTTGAAATGAGCTCTGAAATTCAACGATTTTGAACAACGCATAGACTTATTAATTACATAAAAAGCGTGAGAGGTGTTGCAAAAATTAATTTTGGTTCCTAACGACACAGTGGAGTAATTGAATGCCAATAATTCATTATCAGTCCACTCGCCCATTATTTTAGGACACTTTTAATCGTATGAGTTATCATTGTATGAATCCTTTTCTTTGTTTCAATGAATTGTGAAGTGACTAATTCAGTTTCATCGGTCTCAATCAAGACAATTTTGTGTATAAATATGGTTCGAGTGTCGAACCTATAAACAAATATAACTAATTAAAAATATCTTAACCTGACATATCACACTTTTGACAGGTCAAATGCCGTTCTGAATTGAAATTAAACAGTTTCACTAAGACTCCAGTAAAAAGTAGTTAACCATTTTGATGAGATCCTTATTGAGTATATGCCTTTATTGAATGTATCGATGGCAGGCGTTTGGGAATGTCGGTATATACGTTGACGTGCTTTATGATTTTTATGTGGTCTTGAATTCAACTTACCTCCTTTGCCTTCATACGCTTTGAGCTGATCTTATAGTACCAGTTGCTGCTGATGGAGTAATCGTTGTGGCACGACGCCTGCGTCAAGGCTTTCGTCGTCTTGTCGTTCCAGCACCTGCGACGTCGCCGATAAAAATATTTTGGATCACCAGATCAGTTATGCAAATATGGGTCCGTTTCAGTGAAAAATTTCATTTCATCATTTCGAAGTACTAACCCTGACTAGAGTCACTGTATGGTATTAGTTTGATAAGAGTTCGGACACAGCTGAACTTTTGTCCTTTTCTATTTTCTATAATACAATGGTTTAAGTGAATAAAAGAATAAGACATATATTCTGCTCTTTGTCTTTTCAATTTCCCTAGTAGCGCCTGATTGTCAGATACGATTTTAGATGTTATATTTTCTGTCAAATCAATCATAGCCGTAGATGGACAATGGATATAGGGTACAAACACCCACTTCAATTCATAGGATACCTACACTTCTAGCAGAGCAAGATTTATAATAATTCCCTTGATACATAAATATCTATTCACTTTTCACTGTTGAATTTTCAATTCGCGGTCAGCACCAAAAACGCCATCCAATAATATATCACGTTGTAGTTTACTTGCTCTTCTGAGTTTCGTTTTCAAATTTTCAATTTCATAATGTAATTTTGCGATCATTTCCCCTTTTTCCATGATTATTTTGTTTTGTATTTTGTGTGATGATAATAATGGAATTTTGTTTTTGAGATCGTTTGCTTTGTAAATTGATGGAACAGCAGATTCACTCAAACAGATTTTGAAATCTTCTGTTTGAAAATGGGCCTAAAATATAGATTCATTCTAATCAGATGCTGTTATAAGAAGTGAATTTCAATGAGTACCTCACAAATTCCGCTCGTCTTCAAATTGATTTTCCACCCAGGCCGTTTCATACCTTTCTTCCATAAGCGAATGCTTAAGCAATTGATCAATTGATATTTGATTTGGAAAATCGAATAAATGATATCCATTTGTTTCATAATTGGCACAATTTATTATACAGCAAGTGATTTCCATAGCTGCTTTTATCTCGAAAGTATAATAATTATGAAATTTTATTCCAATTCTGACGTTTATAAAATGAATTGTCAAATTCAAACAATTTTGAATGAAAAATCGCGGGACGACTATGATGCTCTTGTCACAATGCAAGGTGTGTAACTTGATAAATCTAAACATTCAAAAAACCCTAACCGTTGTCATTTCTGTGTCCGAACTCTTATCAAACTAATACCATCCAGTGACTCTAACCCTGACTAGTCCACTGTCGCAAACCGTTTTTTTTTTCAGAGCTCTGTACATTGTTTAAATATTCATTGATATTCACGATATTTCGTAACATGAAAAATGCGGGAAAACGCGTGACGGGGTCATCCGGAAAAATTCGACATACGTATCTATTCTGCTTGTCCGTAAAACGAGTGCAAGAATAATTCTGATTGTCATTTCAATCAAAATATGACAAAATTTCGCCTCCTCAGAAGGTGCTCGCCCTACACTCTAGTGAATTTTCTGGACTGAATACCCACTGCAGATAACAGAGAACACAACACACAATTGAGGAATCAGACAATATGAGGAATACTGCGAATATTCGCACCTTGACTGATGAAGTTCAAGGATTTGAAGATGAAGGTGAGGTTAGGAAGTTAGGCTGATAATGTAGTTCGCCTTCTTCTCCCCTTCTTGTATTTTTGGGAACTCTAGGCATCACGCTATTGCCAGTGCCACAAAATAATTCGGGTTCAAATAAAATCTCGATCATTATTAGGAATTGCAAGTATGTAGATGACATTAGTGATTATTAGGGTCGAACTTTTGTCTTTTGAGAATGTTAATACTGTTGTCATTGGTCATATTGAATCTCATAAGGAAAGTACAAATCTGGCAGGGTCGAAATATGTGGTCCTTCTTTTTATGCGAAAGCTAGAATTCAGATAACGATGATTTTCGGTTCGGTTCATGACTGGGTTGTTCCATTTCAAAGTGTTAATAATAATAATGCTTTAACACAATGATCTTCATGTTACCAATAATGTCACACTGATGATTATCAACTGTCAGAATTAATTTTTTTTGCACAGCCTACTTTACCGTAGCTTATGAATAAATAGTGGAGAATACAATGAGTGAAAAGGAATATTCTCAGATATATTTTTGTGTTCATAAATATATCTGAGAATATTCCTTTTCAATACTTTTACCCAATCAAGGGGTTCAAACTTGAACGATGGAAACTTGTTATTTTTATAGACCTCAATCGCAGATTCGTGATTAGGTTTTCTCAATTCAGAATTTCTTTCCACGTCCTGTGTCCTGTATGATGAATATCAATTTATCATACATCCAAAAAAAAAAACAAAATAATACAATGAGTCCTCGAAAATTTCTAAAATCATTGACAAGTTATTTGGTTAACCAAGCAAATCTATCAATAGTCAATATAATTTGATTGATTAGAATGCCTCGTAATGGAGTTGAATATTTCAAAACATAAATCCCATTCTTTCCAAATATCGAAACAGAGTGTTGTTTTTGAAATGAAAGAAGTTTTTCTCTAGGACTGACCTGGAATCTGATCACGAATTTTATTTAGTTTTGATGTGTAATATAAGTGGAATACTTCTAGCATATATATAGTTTATACGAAGTGGTAAAAAATTATGACCAGATGAATATATCGCCAAAATCTACATAATGTCCTGTATCTCAGTTATAAAAGACGGTAGACACTTCAATGGGGGGGTGATTTGAAACCGTCGAAGGGTCCTCTATTTGCAAGTATCGTATGCACATTCAAGTCTGAAAGATCCTGTATGTAATAAAAACATTTACAAATTACAATACATATGACATTAAAGAACATTTACAAACTTCTGTAAAAGGCACATTCTTCAATGGAATAAAAACCGTTTTTCATGAGGAAGTATTTCACCTTTGATTCAAAAATGCAGTAGCTACCGGAGTTTCTTAGATTCTCTGGTAATGAATTGAAAAGTGTTATGCAGTTGAAAATGGGAGATTTTATGAAACGATGTAGGTTAAACATTTTAAGATATAAATGCAAGTGTCAGAATAATTTTTTTTCTCCCGGAAAGTCTGCCTAATACTTTCTCGGAATTCCATATCAAACATAAGGCGAATAATTATTTTTTGAGCAATAAATAACGGGTCTTCAATAATGATTGAAAACCACGTGACAGATTACTATGCAACCAAGAATACATTCGTTATTCTTTAACGTGGGCGGAAAAGAGATGCCTTATCAAAAATGGTCGCGTTGGCACTCAATCATTGTTGAAGACCTGGTACTATTCGCAATTAAGTTACAATATCTGAATTACAATTAAATGAGGTGCAGTATATACAGAGTGTATCTGAATAACACGGATTCCTTGTGATATTTTAGAAAATAAGTTTCATATAAACATGTGTCCTAACTTGCTTCGTTTTCGAGATACAGGGTATTGTATTAATGTTTCCATGAAAAATCTATTTTCTATTCATTCCTCAATTGTCTTTTCATCAATTTCAATAAGAAGTCGTGGTTTTGCTAATAGTAATATGGAGCTTCCTTTAGTGCAATTAGATTCGAAATAATATTTCCAGTGGCGTCACAGTGGGTAAATTTATCGATATTCATGGTGAATGTCATTGTACTTCACCGGTTCCTCTGAGTTTCATATGTTTATTAGATTGAACTATTGAAATAACATTTTTATCCTCTGTGTAATTTTTGTATCTAGCTTAGTTTTTGAGGAAACAATAAAAATTCGATTTGACTCAAAATTTTAATGTAGGTGTTTTCAAGACTTCCATTGAGATTAATAATGATAATAATAACAATAATAATATAAGTTTATTCAAAAACGTTTACAAAATATAGATTGGAACATACAGATAGGTATTTTGAATAAATTGGGAAAAACCTTACGAAGTGAACCTTGTAGTAAGGATAAAAAACATATGTACATAGGTCAATGAATATTCAACAATATTGAATTATCACAAGGGAAAAATTGTCTCATTAAGAAATAAGACATGTATTTAATAATTCATATATAGTGTACTGAGCATTTAATTCAATTCGCTTAATTATTTAGATTTATATACTTACTCAAGATTATTATTTAGATTTTGCTAATTATATTATTGAATGTTAATGGGAGGGATAAAATCATTTTTAGGGGAGTCTAATATCCCTTATATAAAAGTTCAGTTGGAAACAAAAATTTTTTCCATAAATAATTTGTAAAATCCATTTTTGTACAATTTCCAATTTCCTCAAATATATCTGCTTCACTCCATCCCATCCCAATAACCCATAAACTAATTGAGATTGAACTAAAGCATAATATATATCATTTCTAAATTTCGAATATTTAATGAGTTTTTGAAATGTTTGAATTTAGTAATGAGGAATCTTATTTTCTCAGTGATATAATCAATATTATGATGATCAGATGATCCCACATCAGATTATTGTCCATCATTCTATTCTATTCTATTCTATTCTATTCTATTCTATCATTATACCAAGATATTTGATACAGTCAGTTTCAGTTTCAATTTCTCTATTCATCTTGATAGTGCCTAAATTTGGTTGAGAATTTTATAGGAAGTAAATGTCATATATTTTGTTTTTTCAAAATTAATTGTTAATAAATTCTGATGAAACAATTCTTCAATGATAGGGAAATCATTGATTGCTTCGTTTTTCGATTCACACCAATCCATTGCAGTCATCTGCGAAAGAATGTATAGTACCAGTTGAATTTAGAATCATTTTGAAATTTTGAGGCTTTCTCAGTCTCTATCCATACTGAATTTTGGCACCATGAAAGCTTATACAGGGGGGTTATGAATTAAAACAATTAATACTTCCAATACTTCAACATCCTGTATCAGGTAAGGACACATGTTTATATGAACTTATCTGCTAGAATGTTACAAGGAAACACCCCTTGAATTTTCGGTGTTATTTAGATATATATCAAGATCACCAAATTTCATGATAATATTGAAAAAAAATTCTCAACGAAACGAGGAAACAATCACCACACTGACCTGCGATTAGCGTACTCGCCGACGCAGGGCTCTTCCATCAAAGCCTTGTTAGCGTTCTTGTCGTTCCAGCTTCTGCGATGGCCGTAATCTCCGGCAGGGCAATGCTCCTCGATCGCAAGCTTGTTAGCGTTCCTGTCGGCCTTCTCCGTCCAGGTGATACCTGCGAGAGCGATTTCGAATTTTAAGAAAAACGCTTGTACAACTCGGGATTTTGAGCAATTTTCAAGTTGCCGTAACAATTAATAGTGTAGTAGATATGCGATAAAAAATGGTCTCAGGCGGAAATAATTCCCACAAAATTTTTTTTGCTTTTCTCAGTTCAGAATGCATAGAATAACACATATGAGAAAATATAGAATGATACCTTTGTGCAAAATAAAAATACAGTATTTCCAATATTCGTTTATTGGTTGATACGTATAAATCATATAAACCTAATAAAAATGGCATATTTGGCATGTAACAGAAGTTCATTCATTATCTTCAACTTCCCCGATTGGAATATTGGTACCTTCCCGAACAATTATTGCACAATACTGTGCAAAAATTCCGTATCGTCGACATTAACATCTGGTTCCACAATGTTCATCTACTTCAGATTTGCAAAAACTTCTGTACGTCATCAATAATACAGAAAACCCAAGTTTATGAAAATCATCGACAAGTAACAGAGATCGAAAATCTCAATGATTCTGCACACCAACACCTAAACGAATTGAACTTATGATAGATCGTGGCCTTGCAGCTTGCATCAGTGCCTGTTCAATTGAATTTTTCTCAAACTTGAGGATTTTTTGTTGATTATTATATCCAAGAACGTTTTCAAAATGTCGGGTGAAAGCTTATTATTTTCTTGCTCAGAACTTATTTCTTCTGGTGAAGGATAAAACTCTAAGGATGTTCTCATCAACTTGAATAAATTCTTGATCAGCTTAGCTGTTGCTTCAACTATCCGAAATTTTTCAGCATCTGGATCTTCTGAACACTTTTGTCGCTGATAATCACAAATTATATTGGCAACTGTTTTACCTGTTACGATCATATTAGCTCTACCTTTTTGTCTCAATATCATAATGTCATTCGAGAAATATTCTTCTAATTTTTTATGCATACGACGAACAGTGTAAGGTTCGATATTTTTTGGCAGCAGCTCTGCCATTTTGGCCAGCAACTCCTGAACTGAAATTGCTTCATCATTTTCCTTGAGCCACCTGCATATTTCTAAAAAGGCATCTTCTTTATTTTTATCAGAGGGACGTTCTGCTAACTTTGTCTATTCATTGGGAATATCATGTTCTTAGGAATAGAGTCGCCTTTTCCAAAATTTACACTACATTTTTGATGATCAAAAATCGTTTCTTGCATCACACAAGTCAATAATAGTTTGTCGAAACCCGAAAGTTCGTACTGGTAAAATTGCAGATTTGATTATTTTCTCAGTTTCCTGGATGAATTGGCCACAAAACAAGCAATTATTTTTGAATGCGAGTTTCGGCAGCTCAGATCACAATGCTCTGTTGCTGCTGCTGCTACTAGTTGATGCTTCTGTATCAGGATCTGAAGTTCGGAGTTACGTACAAACGACGACATTCGACGTGAACAATTAGAGGATGAATAGGCACTGGTTCCAAGGGTTCAATTATTTTGTCTTGCTGCTACTTGCTAGCACTTATGATTCCTTGGACACCTTTAGCAGTCAATTCAACACAATTCGAACTATCATGAGATACTTGACGAAAATAATAAACATTTGTTATCTTCTATCGCTGCTTTTAATTCACTATATTTAGGTATACCTGGAATAATACATCAAATAATGGAACCTTTCATTCACGATCACAGAGAATAGTTTCAATCACACACCAAAATGATTGTTTCACACCTCGACGCGAATTTTGAGATCTGCTAATCATATTATCATTTTTAGGAAGATTATGGAATTTATTTGAATCTTATCCTGAAGATTCTAACATAGGTAGCGGAACATGTGTTGATTTGTGAAACAATCATTTCGGTTTGGGCACGTTTGGGCACCTGAAATATGAAAAGTTGCAATGAAACATTTTTGCATGGAAGAATGCATCTATATTTTTAATATAGTGTGAGGGGTCGAATAGAAAATGAAAACTGCGTTTTTGTGGAAATTATTTCCACCTCAAAACTGCTCTACTATAATATGGTGAATACATGGCACGACTCAACTTATAGACCAAGAGCCAGGAGTAAAATTTGGCGACTCATAAGTTACTAAAAGAATGACATTCCAGGTGCGTTATTCATTCCGCATTGAAATGGAAACAGTGCGTCTGCCGGCCAAGAGTGCTGAAATTGACCTAGAAGCGTCTCATTATCACCAGAACCTAAGCGTCTGCCGGTGGATGCGATCGCATTTTCAAAGCAGACGGCATTCAAAACGAGTCAAAAAACGGCCGTTCAGTTTCTCATAAGTTGATACCACCTGATTTTTTTTGCAGAAAATCAGTTCATTATACACTCGATTGAAATATATGAACCAAGCATGGGCAGAGGTATACGCCATTGCAATGTGTGCAAGGAAGCTGAAAAATCGACACCACACGAAAAATAATAAGCAGCACTGAAAGCACTTGAATCAAACTGCTTTAGATCCAGAACAGTATGGAACTGCAGAGGAACCTTAAACCGACTGGCACAACGCAATAACGTCAACCTACGTCAACCTAGTCTGGATACCACGTCACACGTCCTAGAAGGGAACAAAACAGCGGTCGTCCTAGCGAAAGGGGGGACCAAAACATCGTTCACTGGGCCAGAACCGGTAATCGGTATAGCATATAGCACTGTCAAGAATGTTACAACATCCTGGGCCGACAACAGAGGACTTGAGAATTGGGGTAGTCTACCGGGCCTAGCCCATTCCAAAGCATTCATTGCTTGTACAAGGAACAAACAGGACTCTGGCAAACTACTAGAACTCTAAGTTCCGAGTCATTGTCGATCTAAATGAAAACCTAGTAGGCGACCTAGTGCGAGGAGGTATAATATTGTCTGTTCATTCAATCAAAATATGTCTGTCTGTCAAGTGGCGCTGGGGATGAGAAAATGGAAAGAGCTCATTTGTTTATGTCAAAATAGACCATATTAGGTTGATATTCTCTTCTTCTATTTTTTTCCAATATGTACTCAACTACAGATGTGCTTTCCATCATTGACGTGATATTTGATACAAAGGCGATGAAGAAGATTCTTTCATGAGATTGAGATGTCATAATCAAAAAATTATTTTCTGACAGTTGTCATTAACTTATAACTTCGTCTTTGTGAATATGTTATGTGAGCGAACATGATACTATATGTTTCCAACATTTTAAGGGAACTGTTTCTTGCCAATGAAGAATTGGAAACGGTTTTGGAAGGAGGGTTCGGTTCCAAGTTTGTTAAAGGAAGGTATATATAAATAAAATGATATTTAACAAGTTCCTACCTATACAAACTCTTTGTAGCAATCAGCTACTGCTACTACTGGAACTATTAGTTTCAGTACAAAAATTACCAAGAACTTGACTTTGGGACCTCTAAAAATTGTTCCATAGTCAATTGTCATTAAATTCATTTCAGAATGGTACAGATCATTGAAACTGGGGACAAAATAGATATCAAATATTTTTATAGTTTCAGACTCATCAATGTAGTTTGGAATATGATGCTGAAGAGGAACTCCTTCCTTAAGGAACACGACCTGAAGATTAAGAAGCATCTGAGGAGGAAACGGGCATTTGAACAGATATTATAGAATGATAATAAATAATAATGAAGTTTATTCAAATTGATTACATAATATAAATTAAAAAGTTATACATATTGGTATTGAATATTCCTATGGAAATTAAAAAGTTATACATATTGGTATTGAATATTCCTAGCAAAACATATATTTAACCTATATACCTTTGGTACAATATATATTAGTGTTTTCAAACTTACCTGCCAATACATCTGTACAACAATAAACAGGGTATCAGAGGAGAACAAATGAGTAGAATAAAAATTGCAATAATTCTTCATAATTATATTCAATTTATTAAAAAATTTATTTGTATTGTCATTCGTACATATACAAGTTATTTTCCAATAAAAAAATTCTAAATATCCCAGCATCTTGATATTTTGTGTTTGGAGCAGAATATCCATAAGACATTGATGAAATAAACAGATTGAGTCTAACCTTATTGCTTCTATATATTCATTTCAGATGGGAAATTTTCCATTATGTTCTCAAACATCATCATCCTTCTGGTACATTTCTTCTGAACATTACTCACATAATGATTCCTGATGTGATTCTTCCACATCAATTTGTATCACTCATAGTTTTTCGTTTTTCAACTGAAAAGCTATTCATGTAGGTACTCTTCGCTGTAGGTAGGTACCTGAAATTTTCAAGTATAATGATTCCGATGTGTACATAGTTTACATCACTAAAGACATGTTTTCACTGCAAATAACGGAATTTCATGAATTATATAGTAACTTATCAAAAATATAGAAGGAAATAAGCAGCCCCTACCTTTCTGCTTGGCTTGCATGTCGAAAAAGTGTAAAAGCACTGATGAGTTTCCGAAGTTTCCACAGTTCCAACTTAAATTCAAGTTGCATCATAAGTCAACCTAATACAGCATTGCCTAAACATCTCCCTGCTTCCATTCAAGTATAGGTAGATGGTTTTCATACTTGATAATATCTTTCGTGATAATGTTTCATTTTCGGGTTTCAACATGACAGATTTTTATTTACAAACTTGACAGGACCATGAAAAATGTTATGGGTTAGGAATAAAATATGAATAACTTAGTTTACTTAGTTCACGTAGATGTCTCTGAACTACATATTTTCTTCAATTGTCTTTTCAATGAACAGACAATATTATAGCTCCTGCCTACTAACTACCTAACTAGGTTGTCATCTAGAACGACAATGTCCGAGTTATAGTAGGTTTGCTCACTGGCCACTGCAAACTCAAACGCCACTGCAAACTCAAACACCACATGCACAAGATGCAGAGTGCCGTCTATGCTTGGAGGAGGATGAAACGGCTAAACACATTTTATGCACATGCCCTGCGGCGGCCAGAATCAAATTTTCAACATTTGGAATACAACGAAACACTTTTTTGTTGTCGGAATTTCTGCTGCTCTTGAAGCCAGGTGGATATCTTCTTCAGGAGTAAATTCGATCCTATTACACATGAGAGCTGATTTATTAACGCACATACAGACATTTATCGAAATCTCGATATATAAGATATTATATCTATCGAATATATCCCCACCATTCCCGTTGTTGACGTAGTGCAGGAGCAAGCCTGCAGCAGCGCCTTGACGTTCTTCTCCGTCTCGAAGATAACGTAGACGTAGCCCTTCGGCTGCGTGGCCTGCTTGTCCTTGCCGGGCCATTCGACGCGTATCGCGCCGTAGGGGCTTGAACGTCTGGACGAACAGTTGCTCGCTGATATCCCAGGACACACCTCCCAACAAACCTCGCTCGAGTAGCCGACGTGCTTGACATTGGTTTTCATCAAGTTTTGATTGAAATCTCCAGGAATTATGTCTCATTCCTCACGAATTATGGTTGATAAATTATCTAAATCGTATGAAATCTTTTGCCTTTGTGATATTTGAAGCTCTAGGCGACTTCAGACATACTCAACTATGTTCATGTTGGTTGATTCAACTGGCCAGTCCATGTAGTACAACTGTTAGAAAAAATCGAACGAGCACAGCTCAATGTGATCGAGCATTATCGCCTATGTAGACAAAATCGTTTCCTCGCCCGAGGCTTGCAGGAAGAACTATGTAGTCAAGACATTTTTCAATGCAATTTCTGGCATTCAGTCCTCGAAATGACAGGATCTATTTTGCATGCCCTGCAACTCCACTCCTGCTCTCATTGAAATACTGTGGGAGACTTCATTTAGGGTAAGAACATTTTCGAGCTCACTGTTCAGACTTATTGAGCTCCAGCAATGATTAGACTGATTGTTGTAAAATAATGACAGTTGTTGTTACGAGCTCGACAGGTCTTTCATAATGGAATGTAATATTGAGTGTAGATACACTGTAGAGGTATCCTAATTCAATACCAACTCAGGAATGTCTGGAAATAAACGTTTCTTCAATATTTTACGTATACTGAATAATCCAAAAGTGTCCCCTTGCGTCCCCTGGAATGGACTTATCCATAAAGTCCCGAAATTGTTCAGAGTTGTCGACGGGGACAATCCATCTGAATAGAAGAATCGTAATTTCACGAGCACATGATTGTAGCAGCATCAATATAACCAGATGATTCCAGAAAACCTCACACATTATTCGAAACACTTTTTTGTTGTCTAAATTTCTGCTACTCTTGGAGCGAGGTGAATATTTTCTCCAGGAATGAATTCGATCGTATTACACGTGAGAGCTAATTTATTAATGTCCATACACACATTCATAGAAATCTCGATATATTAGATATTATATCTATCGAATACATCCCCACCATTCGCGATTTTTTAGGATTTTTGGCGTATACTTGATAATGATTTATGAATGAATCGCGGTGTCTATCTATTGTTATTTAGTCCGAGACCCACCTGATGATCTTCTCTAATGAAACCGACAACTTTCTCATAGCAGACAATGTCCATGGTCTCGTTCTAGTTCTTTTTCTTGTGGTAGTGGTAGTCAGAATATCAATTCTCTGGCAGTGATTCTGCAAAGTTATCCCCACCATTCGCGATTTCATTCAGTTATCCGTGTTTGGATTTTAGGATTGTTGGCGTATCCGTATGATTCATGAATGAACTCTGATGTGTCAATCTATCTCTATTTAGCCTTAAAGCACAGCCCACTCACCGTTGTTGACGTAGTCGCAAGAGCAAGCCTGCAGCAGCGCCTTGACGTTCTTCTCCGTCTCGAAGATAACGTAGACGTATCCTTTCGGCTGCGTGGCCTGCTTGTCCTTGCCGGGCCATTCGACGCGTATCGCGCCGTAGGGCTTGAACGTCTGGACGAGCAACTGCTCGCTGATGTCCCAGGGCACACCACCCAAAAAGACCTTGCTCGAGTAGCCGGCGTGTTTGGCGGCGGCGCGGGGCGGCAGGACGCCGCTCCACGTGCACGTCGCGTCGTAGAGGGCTAAAGAAAAAAAAGAAGGGGGGTGATTTTCGGTCATTCGTGAAGCCCAAGGCTAATGAACACTCGAAGGATGCCAGTGAATAAGAGACATTATACAAGAAGGTGCAAGCTTCAAAAATCCTTTGGAGTTGAAAAATGTCGACAGATAGCCTTGATTTCTTCTATTGGCGTGCTTGGCGGGCAGTTGAGCTTCCGCCTAAAAGATTTCGCTAACGCTAGACCGCCAGCATTCGGTATGAATTCGCTGGTGTTCCCATACTTAAAGCACGGGAAGTAGAAAATATGAGTGGAATAAAAACTGTATCACTGATGGAATTATGAATGACCAATATGATTTTGATTAAGGTTCACGTTTTGCCTTCATGATTATTTAATAACAGCCCCTATTTGAATGCAATTTCAATGCGTTCATTAATAAACTATAAAAAGCGAGTCAGGTAGTTTTGCAAGAATTCGTGTGAATATTTTTAGAAGACAATGTAATTCACTTTAATATCTTTACTTTCGATGATATTCATTTCAACATATTATATACATATATTTTACTTGGTTCTTTGGGATTTTCTCTCCTCGTTTCTATAAAATAAAAGTATTCGTATTATTTCAATATATTTGTAGAGGGACAAATCAGATGATTTGCCCCAAAATGTCACTGCGTTTAACAAATTTTTCTATCAGGGAGTCTAAAAGAAAAATCCAGTAGCTTGTCAGTGACAATTTGTTTGAAAAAATTTTTGAAGGAAAGAAATATAGATATATTGAAAAAATATCGAATTTGTACTTATCTTTGGACGTTTCGGGACCGATTCTGCTCCCGTTCTCAACATGTAAATGCAAATTATTTTTCTTTGAAAGTTGTGCTGCGTATAGTTTGACACTTTTCAGTGTCATACTGATGTTGGCATATGAATGAGTGATTTTAGTCTACAAATGAGTTACAGGATGTTTTCATCAATTGATCTTGAATCTACCATTTTCATGTTCAGTTTTCAGTAGTGAATACCATGTTCTATCAATATCAACTGAACAGGAAAATAATTTGCATTTACATGTTGAGAACGGGAGCAGAATCGGTCCCGAAACGTCCAAAGATAAGTACAAATTCGATATTTTTTCAATATATCTATATTTCTTTCCTTCAAAAATTTTTTCAAACAAATTGTCACTGACAAGCTACTGGATTTTTCTTTTAGACTCCCTGATAGAAAAATTTGTTAAACGCAGTGACATTTTGGGGCAAATCATCTGATTTGTCCCTCTACAAATATATTGAAATAATACGAATACTTTCATTTTATAGAAACGAGGAGAGAAAATCCCAAAGAACCAAGTAAAATGAATGTACCACCTCCTCGATTAACCTACAGACAGTATATATACATATAATTGTAATTATTGTAATAATGCATTTAGCTTAAAAATTCGTCGATGGAGTAGCAATTTTTCTCGAGAAGGCTTCTTTTCAGAGCAGATTTGAAAATATTAGGTGAGAGTTTAATTGCTTAGTCTAACTTATTGAATGATTTAGGTTCTAGATAGAGATGACTTTTTTGATAGAGAGAGGTTCGATGTGCATTGGGTAATAATAAATCTTTTGAACGAGTGAAATATGCATGAGTTTGGATGAGAACATAGGTCTGTTTTATAAACGTAGATGCAGACTTCGTAGATATATAAACCAGCAACCGTGAGTATTTTAAGGTCTTTGGAAGTACTTTTACAAGGTTGTTGCCATCCCAAACCAGCAATGACAGTTGATGGTTGCATAATATAGATTTATCAAGTCCTCTTTTCCACAGTGGTTTGCCATAAACCACAGCGCAAAACACTGTTTACGTAGTTTCTCACAAAGTGATTCAATGTCGTGCGGTGTCCACATTAGTTTGCAATCTGATGTGAGACCTAGCAATTTAATAGCTCTACACGATTCATCGTGTGGTTCATCATTTTCAAAAATGTTGAGGGTTTCAGTAGCATTACTCAAAGTGAAATTCATCAGAGTTGTTTTCCTTACATTGCCCATGCAATTGTGGTTTCGTATACTATCTCTGTACTTTCTGCGATGGCGTACGTATTTCGATCATTGATCAGGAAATTAGTGTCATTCGCATATGCGATCACCTGAACGGATGAGAGAGCATGAAAGTAGTTGATTGTCATTAGCATATATTGAAAAAATGAAGGTCCGAGTATGGAGCCTTGTGGTACAACTTGTTCGATATTTGTTACTTGGCTTTGAGTATTTTTGATAAATACCTTTAGGGTTCTGTCGTTCAAATAGGACTTCATCAACTCCAAGGCAATTCCTCTAATACCGTATCGCTCCATTTTTAACTCTAGAAGCTTATGACTCACACAATCGAAGGCTCTAGAGAAGTCTATGAACAACCCGCAGACATGGAACTTGCAATCCAGAGCAATTATTACCTGTTCATTGACTTCATAAAGGTTTGTTCCAGTGCTTTTGTTTCTAGTGAAACCATGTGGATTTGGAGAGAGAGTTTCACCAAGGGTTGCAGTGAGGTTATATGTCTCGTTTAATAAATATTTCAATAACGGCATCAATCATAATATGATGCACCGAGAACTGTCTATTGCATGCCAAAATGATCTTCTCGATATTTCATTATTACATCGAATCTCCAGACAACAACTATACTTCTAAGAACCATGAACAGGTTATTTCACGATGAAATGAGGCATTATTTGTCCGCCAACCTTGACCAAAGCTCGCTACTATAAAATGTCCATCATAATAGGAAAGAGGTTACTATTGAAAAAAAAATCTGGTTGATTGATTGTCTATGTCCGATAACCCGCCATAAATCATAGAAATATATAATGAAAATCTGCGAAAAAGCCATGAAAAGACCATCAACTGCTAAAGGAACGTATTGGCTTTTTTCTAAAACGTCCAAGATTGATTGGAATAAAAAATTGGTCATAATAGAATACTTACAGGCTGCAGATCGATTCAAACGAGCTGCTCTGTCTAGCTGTAAGCTTTCCGACACAAGGTTAATGCCGAATAATTGCTGAAACAAATAAAAGAGAAATATTTACTCTGAAGATTGTGTACTCCCTCACATGGGTATGTCAGAAATTTATCTCAATTTTCAAATTTGAATTTTTCGTACCAAATCTCTCCCACCGTTTTGTATTAGAATTCCAAGGATTTTTTTCACATTCCGCTCAGGTGAAATGCCATGAGTGATCGCAATACTATCAATAATAATCCTGTCAAAAATCAACGAAGTCCAATTGCTTGGTAAACCCACAGAACTCATATTAGTGTAAGTAATATGAGTTATGTGGTAGCACCTCGAGTCTGCAGGATCTCGAAGCAATTTGATCAAGTTCAAGATTTCTCACAGAATTATCTCCGATATTATTGTGAGCACGAGTTTATTTATTGAGATTATTCCAAGGTCAATATGAAACTGTTATCTCCATGTAATACCAGGTGACAAGATATGCCGTGACGACGTGGTCTTACCGGCATTGAAATGAAGGAGTAGCGTATTATCGAGCTACACCATTCTGATTGGTTCTCATATAGCAAGATAACAGTTTCATATACTTCGTGCAATTGTCACTTATTATACCACTAGAGCTTCAATTATTACCGAAAATTTTTCAGAGAAGACAAATATTCGTGTTCAACAGAAACATTTCTGATTTTAATTGAAGCTAGAGTAGTTTTCCGCAAGAAAATTTCACACGGAAATATTTAAAAAAAAATACTAGGATAAGATTACGCTAAATAAAATACAAAATACCCGCGACAAATTAAACAGGCAACTAGTGAGAGTCAAACCACTATTCTTGACTAACTTTATTCCATTTTGTTGAAAGGAACTCGAAGCAGTATGAAGTATTAATAATATGCACATCCATTACATTGTTAGGAAATGAAACACAATTAACTCAAGTTACACAAAATGATAGAAAATAAAGTCAATTTCTCAGTTTGTTCAAAATATTTCCAGAGTAATTTCATGATCCTTCCCAAGTAGCAAACATTTTCCGGAAATTCGATTTGTGGCTATGGAAATGATACAGAATACAGGCTTTTGATTGGTGGAAAATGTTCTGAATATTCGAGATAATTCTGTCGCTTCATTGTTCATCAAATTGTGTTCCCGAGCAACACGAGTCCATCGGGACAAGTGATATTGCTGAACGGCAACACAATTGAGTTAATTGAGTTAATTTCAACGAACAGCTTAGGTATAACTTATTTCAATAATTTTCATTGTGAAAATATGATAAACAATGTACAGAGTAATCCCATCCCTACATTTACGTTATTTGTCATCAAGATCAAGGAATCATCAATGATAGACAATACGGCTTTCGCCACCGAAGATCTACTGGAGATCTACTTGCCTACGTCACCCATTTATGGCAAGCTTCAATAGAAAAACACAGGGAGCCTCTAGCTGTCGTGTTGGACATATCGAAAGCATTCGACCGTGTTTGGCACGAAGGACTCCTCCATAAACTACCATCATACGGCTTACCACCTCAGCTATGCCATCTCTTATCGAGTTTTCTTTCAGGCAGATCGCTTCACGTGGTGGTGGACGGTGTGTATCGTCTGATGCCATTGGCATCAATTCCGGCGTTCCACAAGGATCAATTTTAGCACCAACATTATTCCTTCTTCATATCAATGATCTGTTGGGAGTAACAACTTGCCCCATCCACAGCTTCGCAGATGATAGTACGCTCCATACTGCGTTCTCTTCCAGAATTCCCATTTCTTCCCAGGAAACTAAGAACTCACGGCGCAGGCAGGTCAATGCTGTCAACGAAGACCTTGCTGAAATCACAGCCTGGGGAACCAACAACCTCCGCCACCAAAACTCAAGCCTGTATTATCTCTAGAAAGGCGGAACTCAGTATGCCCGATATTGTAATGTCTGGCACAACCATTCCCACCAAGCCCACCATATCTATGCTCAGTATTTCCATCAGCAACACTCTTTCATGGGATAATCATGTCAGATCCATCGCAAAAGCTGCTTCACAAAAAATCGGATTCTTGTTCCGTGCGAAAAGCTACTTTACACCTCAACAGCTTCTCATGATCTACAAAGCGCAGATACGGCCTGTTCTACAATACTGTTTCCACATATGGGATTTAGCATCAAAACATACGCTGATGCTCTTAGATTCCATCCTGAGAAGAGCCATTCGCCTGGTGGGTGACGCCACACTCACTCACTCTTTGACATCATTGAAACACCGTAGAAAGGTCGGCGACCTTTCACTTTTCAATCGATACTTCCACGGGGAATGCTCTTCGGAAATCTCTGCCATCATCCCTTCACTAGCAATACCAGTAAGACGAACTAGAGAAGCCCAGTCAGCACATCCTTTCGTTGTCAACCTCGAAAGATGTCGAACAGCACTTTATCAAAACTCCTTCATCCATAGAACGGCTAGGCTCTGGAATACATTGCTTGAGGAAGTATTCCCAACCACATACAATCTCCAGAAGTTCCAAAAAAATTCCAATACCTACCTCCTGTCCCTATCCTCCCTAGGAACGCACGATGAACATTATAGGAATTTCCTTTCGTGCGCTCCAAGCGATAAAAAAAAAGAAAAAACAAACGATATGCGAAGTTTCCTTGTTACCTAGAGTTCTTGGAAATATGCAAGTAGATACTTACCTAAAACATTCTTTTCGATTTCACTTTCGTCTACATTTCGCATACATTTTTATGGAGAATTCTAATACAAACAGAAATTGTTTGAATAATTCTGATTACAACAAAATTCCAAGATGACAGTTGACAGTTCCTACAATTGACGGCCGGACAGGACTCGAACGACTGAAGGTGTGTTCAAAAAACTTTGTTGCCATGGCAATGTGCTTAAGAAATTGTGTTGCCATGGTAACGTGTTTAATTTCGAATAAATCACAGATCGTCAAACCGCTAAATGTCATTTTGGTTGTGAGCAGAAAAAAACACTTACCTGCACATTGTTGTGCGCACAGGACGAGGGCAACAGCGAATTGAGTAAGGCAGGTGACGGCGGCTGCTGTTGCAGGTATTTCAAAGCCTGGATGGCTTGCAATTGTTGCAGGTTGGCGATGTCCAAGTCGCTAGCTCCATTGTAGAGAAGGTTTCGCGCCAAATTGTCATTCAAGTTCAGTGAATTCTGAAACGAGAATTAGTTGTGACACGTTTGTTCTTTCAGTTAAACCCATTGCGTGTCAAACTATGAAATTGATAAAATGTCTGTTTTCAATTTTGTATTTCGCTTCCTCATTGGTAGTTTTATCAAATATAAAACACAATGACTTCACATGCAGCAGGCTGTCATGGACGTGGATGTCATAATATTTTAATATTCAGGGATAAATAGCACTCAACACTAAACTCAAGACAAAATGGTGATAGGCACTGAATTTTAATTTGTATCAAAGAATTTAAGTATGATTGGCATTTTAAACAAACATCAACCTGATATGACATCAACCTAACTAACCTCTCCTAAAGCCCCTGTATGTATGGGTTGGAGGGTGAAACATTGAAACACAACCTCATTTTTCTTTTCTCATTTGTTTACAAGTGATTGAAATAGATTTCACAATTATTTTGGCATAGGAATTGTGTTTTTTGGCTATTCATTAAATCGTGCATTGTGCTGTTGTACAATACACCAAAAATGCAGCGGGAGACGAAGGAATCTGGTTGGTACATCATATAATTAAAAAGTAAGTACCTACTATAGTCACTCACATATAGTTTTCATTTTTGAAATTTGGTAATTTCTTTCTCATGGGAATTCCTTCCGCAATAGGAACTGATAGAAATACTCGTGAAATTTCCAAAATAATGCAAGAATATTGGTTTCATGCAATCAAACGGGAAGACTGGTCTGACATGCTGACGAAATATGATCGTGTGTGTTGTAGACGTCTTCAATCTCTCAGCAGTATTAGCTTCTATTGCAGAAGTGGCAGAAGAAATTTTGATACGAAATGACGAAATTTCATAATGATAACTATTGGAGATTACTATTCACCTGAAAAATCATATTCCTTCGTCTGTCGCTCCATTTTTTGTGCATTGTACAACAGCACAATGAGAACGCATGCTTGAATTAATCAATAGCGCAAAAAACACGATTCGTATGCCAAAATATTGTGAAAAACTATTTCAATCATTTGATTTCTCTGTAAACAAATAAAATAAGTGAGATTGTGTTTCAATATTTCACCTCCAGGGTATGTCATCGTGCATGCGACCTATTTGACAGATTTGTTGTAAAAAGAGTGCGGACACTATGACAAGCAGTGACAGAAGGCATAACTCTAAAAAAATTGGAATGACATGACCAATTTAACGGGCACTCACAATTCATGAACGTACATGACATTGAATCATTTGAAATTGAGTTCAGCCAGCAACACTTGCGAAGTAAGTACCTACTCAATATTTGAATTTTTTGATTGAATATGAAATATGATGCATATTCGAAGAAATAATATCAATTCTAATCCCAATTTTAACATAATAGGTGCCCTTCAAAAGTACAGATTTGATAGTGGAACATACCATTGAATTGAAAGAAAATGCGGATCCTTCATTCTATCCTCAGAAAGATTACCAAAGGCATTCTTTTTCGAATTCTGAAAAATTTGTATAAGAAGAAATTCAAATAGAAAGCAAAGATGAAATTGACTGTATTTTAGATCACAAACAAGAAATTATCGAAGATTTAGAGAGAAAATATGCAAAAATTAAAAATTTATCAATAGAGAACGAAGAAAAATACAGGAAAGAAATCAAAGACAAGGATATGAACAGTTGAAACATACCTTGAAACAAAAAAACTCTTGAACGAGACTACAAGTAACGAGAATTCACAGCTATATTATGAGGAACTTATTTCAGATCTTGAACTATTTGATCAAACATCTTTGGAAGACTGTGAGGAAACTGCGAATGCAAAAATGCAGGCAATTTTGAATCAAATCAAGACCCAAATTGATAGTTTCGGTATATATTTCAACCAAAATCATGATCATTTGCAGTATTTGAAAACGCGAATCCATGAAATTGATGACAAATTAAAAGGTATTCTAAGTAGAGTTGCAACATATGTATTTGTCGAATTTTCTGATCGATCATGCTTTATAGAGTGTCTTAGTATTTTATGAGAGCAAATAAAAGATTGTTCTTCCCATTCATTTACATTGCTCAGCAGAACTGGCAACTAAATCCTGACTCTTCTATTGAAAAACCAGTGCATTCTAAAACTAAATTAAAGGAAGTACATAAGTTCAGTACATCGAGGAATCCTATCAATAAATTAATTCAGAAACTATGACCATTTCACGCCAGTGAGATGAGTCGCCACTTCTTCATGAAGAGAAAGACAGAGAAAGATATATGGATGTACCCTTCACCGCGACAGTAGAGGAAAGATGATCCGAAGTGCATGGAAAAATATAGCCATGTCTTTGTTCAACCAAACCTTCGAAGTCATTATAGCAAAACTGTCAAATACATACAGGGACTCTAACCTCTCCCAACTTGACATTAGCGTCTAGAGACATAACGCATCAAATATTGCGATCGATTTCGGTCAACGACGAGACGAGACGCGCGACAATATTTGTTGCGTCCTGTCTATACATGCTTGTCAAATCGGCCTGTGGTATCGGCACGTATCGTTAGTTGCATAAACGATTGCAAATGAGAATATGACATGGAATTATAGTTTTATTCATGAAATAATGAGTGAAATATTCTTGACAAATACAACTCGTTTCATTGATGGTTATCGAAAATCACAACTCTTTTTCGAAAAAAAATTATGTTGCTTTTAGACAACCATACTCGCTATGCGCTCGTTGCCAAGCAACATAATTTGTTTCTCAAAATCGAAGAGATTTTTATTTCGATAACAATGAATACACTTGTTGTATTAAGGTATGTCCCCACCAAAGCAACATAGTTCAACTCACTGCAACCACAACATGTTTAGTAACACTATGTTGCATCATATTGGTATTTGTTGTACTATGTTGCAGATTGTTCATGTCGTGGTAAACAAGATGTTGACGTTTGTTGTGTGTTTCGGTTTGGAGCGGTAAAGATCGAAGGTAAATGTGAAACACACGCAGACATTCAGCAACTCCACACAAGTTGTAGTTGGTGTAGGAGTTTGTCGCAAGAAATTGTTTATTATTGAAAAAATGGCGTTTAATTGGAAAATTGTATCAATTTAATTGATAATTACAGACAATATCCGTGTTTGTAGAGATGTTCTGACGTGAAATATAAGTGCAGGGAAACAAAAAACGATGTTTGGGAGACAATTTGTGCTTCGTCGTACAACATGGCTGACTGTGTTGTGTTGCACTGGTGTATACACGATGTTTATTGGGGTTGAATTTTCAAAAAAATCAAAATCAACATCATGCAACATTGTTGTCTTTGTGGGGACACTTTGTTGGTGAGATTTGTTCTAGACATTTTGTATCTCCAACAAAGTTGAATAACAAAAGTTGAACTATGTTGGTCTGTGTTGCTTTGGTGGAGACATACCTTCACATACGACGACAATTCCACGACCTATTGAAACTGTTATCACCATGTAATACCAGCTGACAAGATGTTCTGGTCTATAGTGCGCTGCGAGGCACACCATTCTGATTGGTTCTTATATTGCATGCGGTGGCAGATTCATATACGTCATAGAATTGTCCAGTGGATCCAGTTGAGCGATATAAATTGACGAGGAAAAAAAAACTTTCGGATGATGCGTTAAGGTTAGAAACCGCTTGATTTTTCAAAAAGTTATGACAACTTGACGATTGACAAAATTTCGCGAGATTTTTTCGAGCACTTTACTAATCAATGAAATTACTCACGAATATATCATTCAGGCCTCCGTCGGGGCTGGATATTCCCGAATCGGACTCAGGAGTGTTGGACCTAGAATAATTATTATTGGCGTTGAACAGAGGGTGTTCTAGAACGGTCGGGCTGCTGCTTCCACAACTATCACTGAAATATACAAAAAAAATCAACTGTTTAACAAAGGCCTATATATTTACGAGATCCAACTGGATTCGAATTTGTTTTATTTCTTCCGCTTGTCCTTTAGTATTAGATAGAGCTGTCATTGTTTGGAAAATTTACATTTCATGGGACATGACATTTTGTGGATAAGTAACACAATGAAGTCATTGTGATTTCAGTTACGGAAATAAAATTGATGACACACAAAGTACCTCAATGATTTATCGAACATAGTAAAACAAGTGGGGTACGTAGTTTTTGAAAGGTATCAGATTAGTATAGATGTAGTTTTCATTAGGTATTAGATTAGTATAGAGGTCAGATAATTTATACGACGCTATAAAAGCAGGTGATATTTTATCATTGCTCATGTAAGATGGAAGTAGAGGCCATGACACCATATCATGAGCATATTTTTATATTGAAACTATCATTGGACACCAAAGATGTGTATACGACGCTATGAAAGTTCAGAGAACTGGAGATTTTTCCCACAAACTACGTACTTAGCCCACTCGACTGTCTTGGTTTTTCCAGACAGTCGAGTGAGCTAGGTACGTAGTTTATGAGAACAAAATCAATACAGTCGAGTGTGCTTTTTTCACTTTCTTTTGTTTTTTGTTTTGTTTTCTATTGGCAAGTGATTATCTAGGAACTTGTAAATATTTTCAGTTTTTTCATCGTATCTCCCGAACTATTGAATTCAGAGAAAAATGTTATACGGATTTTTTGTACATTTTATCAAAAGGAATAATTTTGGTTCAATAACATTTTCAGATATTTTCAGTTGTTTTCGAGATATTCGGAATTATCTGAGTATAAAATTTTCAACACTTTTGTTCCATCTTCCAATCAACAAAATGAAAAAATATTTAATGGTTCAGTGGAATTCGATGAGCTCCATCTATCGATAATCTTTGTTTTTCAATATATCTTCATAGTACCCTATGAGTCGTTAATTTTTTTTTTTTCATATTTTTCACTTCATTTCCTGTACTATTGGGTTTACAGAAAAAATTATGGAAAATGATTTGTAGGAAATGTTCCAGTGGATAACTTTGCACTCTTGATGATTTTCGATTTTTCCATTTGTTTTCGATATATATTGAATTGTAAGGATTTCAAGTTTTGATGTTTTGATTTTCATTTGTTTTTCCATTTTCCGATGGATGCACGAAAAAATGGTCGAATAATAATTTGTTGCGTCATCAAAGAGGCATACGGTGCATTTTTCAAATTTGAAATTAGTCTACTGGTTCAGGAGATATGTCGTTTTAAAGCGAACCGTGTTTTACGGAAAATCTCCTTGAAAAACCCACTTGGAATTTTCCTACCCTGCTCAATTTCAATAGGCTTCGTCTCTTCCTGATAGAGTTCTTTTTCACTAAAAATGAAATCGATCGGACCACTTTTGCGATTTGTAGAGTGGTTACAAGAAACTTCCGGTGAAAAATCGAAAAAACCCGGAAAAACCACCTTAGAGTTTTCCGATTTCCTTCATATTTTAATGACATAATATTGTTTTGAGTACAATAAGATGGCAAAATTTCAAGTCGATATGTCAAAGGGTTCCGGAGATATATCGATTTATGATTAACACAGAGTACAGACAGACAGACAGACCACACACAAAAACCAAAGTTGCTCAAAATTCGATGGGGATCATTTTCTCCAAAGTAACTATACCTCTATCTCGCTTAGTTTCCGAGATAGCATTTTTGGCAAGGCCGTAGTATACTCCACTATGTATAGCGTCGTATAACAAGAGCAATTTTGTGTTATGGCCGTAAAAATAGTTATTTTTCATACAAGGCAAAAAATTAGTAGATATAAGCTCCAGGTTGAAGAGCAATTGAATGTTATAGCCGTTGAAATAGTTGTTTATTATACAAGGAGAAAAATAGTAGATTTTAGCTCCAGGTTGTGTTGTCTCCCAACGCGTAACCGTGAGCTGAAATTCTATATTTTTTCCGTTATAATGCACTATTTTTTTCTGTGACAGACAAAATGACGAATCAATATTGAGAAGATATAATATTGAATTCAGAAAATTATCGACTTGAAATTTGGAGTTTTTAACAGGAATTGCGTTGCAGGTCTTTTTGCAGGCATCTTCATCATTCTGTATTTTGATTTTCAAAATTGCGAACCTAGTGGCTGTTAAGTAATTTAAGAAACCGCGAAGTGGAATGGAAAAGATAAAAGGACTTCCATTTTTTTCTCGGAGACGGTGTGATTGGCTTATGTTTCGGAACTGGCACAACAAAAGCAATCAACAGTGCACCTATACACGGGGTGCACCATATTGGATGGGCTGAAGATAAAAACAATCCAATTTTTTATAGTATTTTTTCCACAATCTTATTTAAAAATATGATACCTAACGGATCTTTACTCATCTGAAAATTGGTTTTTTTTACCCATAACCACTGCATTATGATGCTTGATGCACCTCTGATAGAAAATCAAAAATTTTGAGCTCAGAATCCAACTTGGCGTTTAAAGTTGATGCAGTGTACTAACCAACCATATTTTAATATTTCACTGTGAACGGTTCGAAAAATATTGAGATAACACAGTCTTGATGGTGCAGATGAATCGATGTTGAAAATTGCGATTTTCTTGAAAATTGCCACCTCTATTAATATGAACTCTATCATATTCTCAAATCAGAATATGAAAAAAAAAACAACAATTGGGATTGTTTTTACCCTTGAATTTTGAAATTCTGACATCAAATTATGATTCAGCATCAATAATTTATGCGATGCACAAGGTGATTCACCATAATTTTCCCCCCTCTAGCTCACTCATTTTTGAACCGATTTCAATATTTAAAAATCATCTGAAATGATTTTCCAGATAACAGAGATAACAGGAAAACAGGGCAACAGTTGATTTTTTCAAAAGAGACAGACACCATGTGATCAATGCATCACACTTGAGGTCTAGCGGGAATGATAACAGAGATATAGGGTATTCAAAATTATTGGCCCAAACGGCCAACATATCCCTAACTTGACTTTTGATTCGCTATCTACTGACATTTGATTGGAACAATACAGCGTGGATCAAGATTCCAAATTCTGATCACCCTCTGTGCCTGTTATTAAATGTCAGTAGATAGTAAATCAAGAATTGAGATAGGGACATGAAAGCCGTTTTGACCAATAATGAATAAGTTCGACACAAAAAAATCCTAATGTTGAAAAATCTCGATTTTGAAATCATTCCCGCTAGACCCGTGTGATGATATATTGATGAAATGAGCTGTTCAGGGAGGAAACATCAACTAGTAGTTTATTCCGAGCACCCTGTATTTGCTGATGTAGAGGAAAAAATTGTATCAAACATCATTTCAAATGATTCTTCAAATTTCGGGATCTGTTCAAAAATAACTGAGCTAGAGGGGAGTACATTCATGTTGAATCACCCTGTTCCAAAATTTCATATTTGGATGAATGGAAATATTGAGGAAAACGTTAGGAAGCATTTTTGGATAAATATTTATCGGAACTGTTTTTCATGAAAATAGCCCAGTAATCACCCCACGAATTGTATAACAACGTGAAGGAAACACCCTGTATAATATTGCACTTCCAAAAGTGGATATTTGTAACAAATGTATCCAGGATGAACCGTTTTGATGAATTCTAGCTGTAACTACCAGTGCCACGATTTCCATGAAACTCACCTGAAGGAAGTACTTCTCAGAGTACGTGCAGAATAATAATGAGGAGGTGTACATGGGGAAGTGCCCGCACTGCCCAATGACATGTTCCTCTGCAGACATTTCGGTGTGGAGGTAGCTGCCGAATAATTCAAAGGACTGGAGTTATCACATAGTTTGTGGTCATCAAAGTCCAACTGAAAAAAAAAAAAAAAAAAATCGAAAAACTTTGTACACAAAAGAAGTTGATTTGTATTTATGGATTTGTTATGCAAACTTCTATAACTACAAAACATGAGTATTTCGAAAATACACTGTGGATTTTCAATAACTCCATTAGAATTAATCTGGGTATTTTCATAAACTGATCTTGAATTTACCATTTTCTTATTCTATTACAGGAGCGAATACTATGTTCAATCTATTCACGGTGCGATGACATGAAAACTACGAGAACAAATACCTAACTACTGGCTTAGATTGAAAGTTAGACATGTTTCCCGTTTATTATGTCATCGTAACGTCAGATGATGACCTTGACTACCGCGAATATTAACTACATGGAAATAAGCAATGTTATTGTCTCCGTTCCGAAGAATTTTAGCAGATTCCTCGATTTTTGTTATTATCTGACTGACAAATTTTTGACAACGATATCTCCAACATAAATTATTCAGTAACTAGCATCATTCCTAGCATATCTAGAACAACAAGAAGAGTTTATATGTTTCAAGTGAAAACTGTGTTCAAAGACTGAAAATACAGTCGCATTGAAAAAAAAAGGGTACAAGTATATTACAGAGAGAAATTATCGTCATCCTATTCAGCATAAAAAAAACTATCGGGAATGATTGCTTACCAAATGTTGACAGTAAAGTTGTCATAGGTTCTCAAAAACACAAAGCATTGGCTGAGCCAGTTTTACACAACTAGAACTAGGATCTCGAAATCCTCTCTTTTTAATACTTGTACGCTTTTTTATTGAATACGACTGTACAATGAAGTCAATTATAACTCGAACAAAACCAAAAAAATGGAGAGGCAGCAACGTTATTTTCCTGTCTTGGTTGTTACAGTCTCTTCCTATGATTTTAACATAATTCCACTCTGCCATATCTTAACCATGTTCAATAAGGATGTTCTTTCGTCCTTATTGATAGAGGTCTCTTTGTTTCACCAGTATTATAATTTCCACAAACACAAGGTATACTGTATATACAGGGTGGCTGGAATTGGATGGAATGGTAGGTAGGTGTGGAAAAATTAAATAAAAAATCCGAGTCCGTATTTAAAAAAAATAAGTTGATGATGGTTTCTGCAAGATGAAACGTCGTATTTCAAATTTGAAATCGCCAACTGGTAGGGAAGAAAAAGAGGCCATGGCAAAGTGTAATTCACTTCGATCAATGTCTTCATAAAACGTGGTTTTAGTAAACTTCGGTTTTTTCGTTCAACTCCGAAAGTATTTCGGAAGTTTCGAAACGGCACTTTTTTAAGCATAAAATCGCGCAACTTTCCCATAATTCTACCGACCCTGTATCTCGTACGGTTTACGAGATCCCAATGGTATGGCTCTAATTCCATCCACCCTGTACAGTTTTATGATGCCTGTACACAGGTGTTAGCAAAAAAATGCATTTTCAATTTCTCCTTAACATTGGTTCAATAAATAGTTTGAAATTCTGCTTATTGTTGGCGTTGTTAGTAATTGTCTCCAATGATTACTGTCGTTTTTTCCACTATCGCTTAGCTAACTTCATTATTCAAAATTATACAAATGATATAAGTGGAACATAAATCTCTTCAAGAGCGAATAACACAAAAACCGTTAGAGCTAGACAATTTTTGAAAAAGTGTCCATTTTTTATGTAAAATTGATCAGGCTTACAAATTTTTCACCTATTTTAATCATCATTCAATGGACAAAAAAGATATGATGTAATTTACCGAAGTAACAGAGTGTCACTACTAGCGCCCCCTATGAGCAATGACAAAATAAGTTGCATATTCGCATTTCTCATGTTAGAAAACCTGAAACGACGAAATTTCATGTTCATGCTGTTAAAACTCACAAAGTTATCGAGGAATTTTAAAATAAAATCTCCAGAACCAGCGCAGGAAAAACAAACCTCATAAAGACACAATAAATCATAAGTCAAAACATCATTGGGTTGACCATCGGCTGAAGAGCCAGAAAAATCTGACCCTGATGAGATTGAACATTGAAAAACTAATTTTTTAAAAGAAGTTCAAATCGTCACATGTTGACTGAAAAAAATTGATTCAGAGAATGACTGGTGTATGACAGAAGGACGCAATATTACCAACCTAGTTGTTGAATTTTGTTCTTGAAAACTCCTTCATTTTGTGTTCACCCAATATCAATTTCAATATTGATTATCAATTTCATTCAAATCACTCGAAACTTTTTCTGCCTGTTGAGTGTCAGAGAAAAGCCACTTCCTATGCCGCTTGGAGTAATATTTGTTTTACTAGGCAGGGGAGGAGTAGATTGATTGCGGCTGATAGTCAGCCAAGGCAGTCAGGTTAGGTTAGGTTAGGCCTCCTAAGACATTTTTTAGTTTTTCAATTTATGGTATTCAGGCATAAGTTTTAACTGTAAACAACTTTTCTATATAAAATTTTGCTGAATTGTCTGAAATAAGGGTACTTTACTCTTGAGCAATTTTTATATTTTTTGACCTACCCTGTATGCTGTGTGACTTGCAATTATTCTAAAATGATTACTAAACATGCACCAACTTTCGGCATTATTTGTATTTTGGTTGTGCAATTCATTAAAAAGATTCCCATATGTTGCACACTTAAATGACCACACTGTATACTCATGATGTATTTCAATGACATTTTTTTATAAAAAAAGTTCAACAGGACATACGATTTTAATGGCAAGTTATTTGGGTAAAACTGCATTTATCATGCGATGAGTTTATTTTTCCGAATTTTTTTTTGGTTCTTACGAATTCTTGTCTGAAAAACACGAATTTGATAGTGAAAATGTGAACAAACCACTATTTATCGAGATATTTCAAGAAGAAGTTCGAAATTTCACCTTCTTTTTTCCCTTGTGTTGGATGCATTTGCTCTTCTTATTTTGTCATTGGACACTTTATATACTCATGATGTACTTCAATGACACATTTTATGAAAAATTCAACAGGACATACGATTTTAATGGCAAGTTTTTCATATTTAGTGAACAAGCACACCAGTTATGACGGCCATTTAATCAATAGACAATCCAAATACGAGATGTCAAATGTCAACAGATTGCTTTTGAATGACATTACAACACGCCATTATTTTGAATGATATTCCACCTTCTTTTCACTGAATATGGATAAATCGCAAGAAAATCATATTTCTAGTTCTCATAAAATAAAAAAAGTGTCATTGAAATAAATTATGATATGTAAATTGTGCAATGATGAAAAAAGATGGGCAAATCGTTCTAAATGCGATCCAAAAGACAGGCGAAAAAGAAGGTGAAATTTGTAACTTTATAGTGAAATATATGTCCACATTTTCTATATCAAATTCGTGTTTTCAGACAAAAATACGTACCAAAAGAAATTTTCGAAAAAAAACATCACATGATAAGTGCAGTTTTACCCAAATTTTTTCTCCAAATATTATGAAACCAAATTTTGTGTAATTTTGTTATTGAGAACTCCATCATTTTGTGTTCAACCAATGTCAGTGTCAATTTTGATTACCAATTTCATTCATATCACTTGGAACGTTGCATAGCAACGAACTTTTCCTGCCTAGGCAAAGAAAGTACAGCTTTCCTGCCTGTTATGTGTCAGAGGAAAGCCTCTTTCTATGCCGATTGGAGAAATTTTTATTTTTTTTACTAGGCAGGAAAGGAGTAGATTGACTGCCGCGGCTGATAGTCAGCCAAGGCAGTCAATCTACAACATAATTTTTTCTCCGAATGGTATGAAACCAATTTTGTGTGATTTTTTTATTGAAAACTCCATCGCTTTGTGTTCACCCAATGTCCATTAGTGTCAATTTTGATTATCAATTTTATTCGAATCTCTTGGAACATTGTATAGCAAGACACTTTTCCTGCCTAGGCAGAAAAAATATACCTTTCCTGCCTGTTGAGTGTCATAGGAAAGCCACTTTCCCTGCGTCTTAGAGAAAGAAGTTATTTGGGTAAAACTGCATTTATCATGCGATGAGTTTTTTTTTTCGAATTTTTTTTCGGTTCTTACGAATTCTTGTCTGAAAAACACGAATTTGATAGTGAAAATGTGAACAAACCACATTTATCGAGATATTTCAAGAAGAAGTTCGAAATTTCACCTTCTTTTTTCCCTTGTGTTGGATGCATTTGCAGCTACTTGCTCTTCTTATTTTGTCATTGGACACTTTATATACTCATGATGTACTTCAATGACACATTTTATGAAAAATTCAACAGGACATATGATTTTTATGGCAAGTTTTTCATATTTAGTGAACAAGCACACCAGATGACGGCCATTTAATGAATAGTCAATCCAAATACGAGATGTCAAATGTCAACAAATTGCTTTTGAATGACATTACACAAGCCATTATTTTAAATGATATGCTTCCTTCTTTTCACTAAATATGGATAAATCACATTTTGATATATACAGGGTGTCAATTTGAAAACTTCCCACCCTTAATATCTCCCTCCAAGTCGTTAATATGGAAAAACGAAAAGACAGGTCGATTTTATTCTCGAGGGGGACACTTTGAATTGATATTTTTGACCATCATGGTTCAACCCCCTAGGAGGGGTAGATGTCACCCTCAGAATATGAATAGGGAAGAGGGGTCAAGTGGCACATCATTTTGTAGGGCGTTCAATTCTCTTTCCAACGATACCCTACTTTACTATTTTTTGACGAGCAATTTCTGAAAAATAGCGTTCTAAATCTACAGAAGTGATCTAAACTTGCCTGCACAAAGATGCATGATTTTCAGGTTAGTATTTGAACAGAGATTTTTGAATTGATTCTCCTTTCAGTAAAACTAGTCAGGAAATTAGGTAACAACTTCACATCTTTTCAACAGGGGCAACATAATATCTTTCTTTCCAACGGTATATCTTACTTTACTATTTTTTGATAACCAGTGATTAGAACTTGCCTTAACTCAGATACATTGTCTTCAGGACGAAAATTATTGTTTTGAA